GTAATTCCCAACAGTTTCACACACTGATGACATCAAGAAATCCCCTCACTGACAAATTAACCATGATGAGATTTGACCTGGGTCTCATAGTCAGAACACTAACATTCTAACCACTCAGCCATAATCATTGTCCTAGCATGAAGTCTCAAGTCATCATGACTGAGGGCTTAAGTACACTGGTCTTGTTCAACTATTGATCATGCCAGATTGTGTTGTATATCCCATAGATTGATTCTGTATGTGTTGAAGAAACACAAAGATTAGTTAAGCAGTCACAGATGAGTGTACTCAGAAACAAGTAGCCATTGTCTGCACACACACACACACACACACACACACACACACACACACACACCTGTGGATGCACAATGGAGTAATGGACAGTGGTTCAGTTTGAGGAATCATAGAGCCGAGTTTGAATTCCACTCAAGTTCATTACATTCACTTACATGCTAATACCTTAGGAAAAGTATGAATGCATCTCTTCTCCCCAACCCCAAACTATGAGTAATAGCAGGACAGAGAGGGTGCTATAGCCTTGAGTGGTGAATTATCTACGAAAAGGACAATTCTGAATTTGAAGCCTGTGAATAACCATTTGGGATCTTTGTGTCATACTGTGCACCAGTTCTCTGTATTCAGCTCTTTCAAAAAGTGTGGTTGATTCTGCACAAGCCTTCACTGCTATAGTCAAATGATGTGTGTGGGTAGTCTGGCCATTGGTTCTAAGAACAGAGATGCTTGAACCTCATATGTTGAAAACAACAGGAGAGTCCAGTTTTATATCTATATATCTATATATATATATATATATATAGTGGTGAACTCTCCTGTGGTATTCAATATATGAGGGTCAAGCAGCTCAGTTCCTAGGAACCAACAGCCTAGACACTAGCACATATGATTTTATTATAGTGGTGAAGACTTTGTGCAGAAGCAACCACATTTTTTGACGGGTCAAATTCAGAGAACTGGAAAACCAGTGCACAATATGATATGTAGAGCTTAATATTATGATTATTTTTTTAAAAATATGATTCCCTCGCAACACAGAACATCCTATGTTTCAAAAACATCCGTCTGCAGATTTTGAATTCAGAGTTGTCATTCTCCTAGACCATTTGCCATCTAAGGCTATAGAACCCAGCCTGTCCTGCTATTTACCCATAGCTGGAGGTAGAAGAAGTGGATTAATACCTTTCCCAAGGGTATTAACATGTAAGTAAATGTAATGGATTCGACTGGAATTTGAACACAGCTCTCTGATTATTCAATCCAAGCCACTATCCACTACTCCACCATGTTACCTCCTTACATATTATTATGAAGAAATATATATATATATATATATATATATATATATATATATATATACAGACAGAAGGGGACAAATAGAAAGCGTATATATATATGTGTGTGTGTGTGTGTGTGTGTGTGTGTGTGTGTGTGTGTGTGTGTGTGTGTGAAAATTTCTCCAATTTAATCAGTAGAGAAGACAATAATTATGAATAAAAATAACAATAGGAAAACTAGTAAAATCTACAGTTGCTAGGAACATTCTGTTTTTTGTTTTTTATTTGTTACCTTGTTCAATTAAATTCTTTTCGTATTTTGCTTTGATAAAGCTCACATTGGACAAAATGCATCAGCAATTACTAGTTTTTCTATTGTCATTTTTATTCATAAATATATATGTGTGTGTATATATATATATATATATATATATATATATATATATATATATATATATATATATGATATCATATATAGGATAAGGAAGGAACAAATAGGAAGCGTTTATAAATTTAACATGCTTTGTTTTTATTAAAAGCCTTATCAGAAAATAAAACTTCATTTACCAGTTAACTTTATAAAAATTTCATTAGCATCTTAAATTTATAAACATTTCCTATTTGTTCCTTATCCTATCATTGTTGGATTCCAATCCATATTTTATCTATATTTGATTCAATTTATTTCTCTCTCTCTCTCGCTCTCTCTCTCTCTCTCTCGCTCTCTCTCGCTCTCTCTATCTATCTATCTATCTATCTATCTATCTATCTATATCTATATATATATATATATAATGAGACAGAGGGAAGATAAGTATAGTTTGTAAACTAATAATTAAACAAGCACTTATTTTACACAATATCTATTTTTCATCTGCTCTCTTGTCAATGCACTTAACACTATGCTTCTACATTAATTACATAGATTGAATTTCATATCAAAATTCTGTTAATCAGTGTCAGGCTTCAGCCTTTTCTTTTCAAGCATCCATCTATTGGTTATCCACTTGACTCTTTCCCGTTTTGTGTTGACCAATAGAAATTGCTTTCAGCAACACACCAAATATCCAAATGACTGATAAACCCTAGCACTCACTTGCTAGACATTTATTTCTACCTGGTGTATTTTTGTTTTTTTACAACACAGAAAGAAAACAATAATGTTTGCCAGTGGACTAAGGTTTTCCTTGATTTTGTCTGCAATTGGAATGGCATTGGCCAGTAAGTCACTAATTTATTTATTAATTCAGTTATTATACTTTGATAAGTTTAATTTCTTAAATATTGAATTTGTAAAGTTTTTAGAGAGAAGACTTGATAGAAAATTAAATTTTGGATTTGAAAAGTGTTATTTGGTAGAAAGAGTTCATAGAAATTTAAATTAAAAAATATATTGCAAACATTTTTTCATTCTATTTTATTTAGTCCTATTCTCTGAGTGAGGCTATCATTAATTCTTGATCACTGACAATCTTTCTTTTTGTTTTACAATGCATTTTTATCTTAAAAGGACTTGAAATGCATTTTCCTAGTAAACACATTAGCAATACATTTATGTTCTACAAGAGTGTGCTGAAAAAAATTCTCAACCTGATCCACTTTCCAAAATCAGTATTCTGATGTTTGGTCATGGAAATACTGATTTTGGGAACAAGGTCAGACTAAAAACTTTTCAGTTACTCTTATTTCATATTATAATCCTATTCTGTCAGTAATTCCCTTTTTAAATACTTTTCAATTCACAGCATGGAGAATGTACACTGAAACTTTTTAAAACAATTTTCATGTAAATATTTACAAAATTTAGGATCTAATGATTAAATTTTCCTCTTACAACTATACTTATTTACTTTAATAGTATAGAAAATGTTTAAAACTTAATGGGATTGATTTATTGATTGATTTGTTTTTTTACAGTTTATCAACCTTTTTTGCAGGTTATTTAAAGCCCAAACATTTTTTTTATTGTAAGAATAATTCTTTTTTGCAAGTGAATATTGCACTAACAATTTTATGCGAATAACAATAATTTCACCAGATACAAGTCCTACTATTAAACCCATAGCTGGTGGGCAGGAGGTGGATTCATACCTTTCTCAAGGGTATATACAAGTAATTGAATGTAATGAACCTAACTTGACTCTTTAATTTCTCATTCTAAGCTGCTATTCATAACCCCATTCACACAAACTGAATGGGGGAAGCAGATGGAATAGTAGTAAATTTGGTGTGCAGTAATAAGTGAAGCCATAACCTTGTCCATATATACCAGATTCAAATGCAAGTCACATTAAAATACAAGCATAATTTTTTTTATTTTGTCTACCCATAGTGTCAGAATTTATGTATCACGATACAATCATTAGAGAAAATTTAATTTTATAATATATCTTATTCTGGCACTACTTAAATAGTAATCCACTCAAAAAAAAAATAGGGTCATATTTTTTTAAAATAAGTTTTCTAGATTAGTATTCTTTAGACCTTCTTTAAACTGTGGCACTTGTCAAAACCCAAAAATATTGAATTTTTTTCCCCTGATTTAGAGGTTGGGGAGGGGGTCAGCTGTTCATAATGTCAATATTGTGTCAAATTGATCCCTGACTTTTACAGAGTTATAATTTATTCTTCATGTAAGATAAATAATTATTAACCCCAATCTTTGTGCACGAGCTTCCAACACGCCCCCACCAAGCTTTAAGAAAAAGAGTAAAATAAGGAAAGACTTTTAAAATTTCTGAAAATGAAAAAAAATCTAAGCAGATATCAGTGATTTAAGCAAAGTTTTAAATGTAACACTTTCAAACAAATTACTCAGTTTTGATAACTCTGTAAAACTCATAGACTGATTTTACCAATATTATGAACAATAAAAAAAATTTAATATTTTTCGATTCTGACAAGTATTACAGCCAAAGGAAAGGTTAACGAATACTAATCACCAAAATTTTTCAAAAAGATTTTCCCCCTATTTGTCAAAAGTGGACCAGTCTGTTTAAGTATTGCCCTTTTTCCTAATATCACGGATTACATAGACAGCTAGTTATTTAATAATAATCCTAATTAGCAGTGCCCATAAAAATTCCATAGTTTTCCTATTTTAATTTTCCGATAAATCAAAATTCTTAAATTAATGTTTGAATAAACTCTTTGCAAATTATACAACTATGAAATACTTATGGAAATACCCCTATTGCATTTTAAAATATTTGAGCTTAACAACTTTAACAAAATATTCCAATAACAATCATAAGCATGAATGCAGATCATTATTTAAGGAAGTAAGAAGGTGTTGTGGGGGGAGTAGGTTATTAGGAAAAATATGTATCTATCAGAAGATATTATTTGTGTTGGCTGCATGAAAATAAACTTCTCCATAAACATTTAACTTTGGGTATAGCACAAGGTCATCAACAACAAAATATAAAACAAATAATATTCCTTTTTAGAAAAACAAGAATAAAGCATTTATATAACAAATATATACAACATGAGAATGAGAATGTTCTTTAGGACAGATAGTGAGTTTGTTCAGTGTTCCTGTCAGTAAAAGGATTTTCAGAGAATTAATCAGTTCAGATTAAATATTTTACATCGTAAATTTCTGTCATAGTTTGATATTTGGAGATTAAGGTAAGAGTTGTCGCCCTTGTTAAAATTGACGTGTAGCTTTTTGGTGAGTGAGTGAATTTGAAGTTTGGGATTATGTTAGGAAATTTAACTTCAAAGATTTGAATGGTGTGAATTTGTTTGGTGAATTATTTGATGCTGCAAAGCTCACTGTTAGAAGGTGATAAGTTTCTGTTGCTTGTAGTTGAAGGACTGAATAAGATGAGTTCAGATATATGCAATGTTTGTACATATGTGTGTGTGTGTGTGTGTGTGTGTGTGTGTGTGTGTGTGTGTGTGTGTGTGTGTGATAGCATCTTCCCATAAGGAACAGACGCAGGCTCTTCCCTGAACTACATTGTTGTGGTTCTGAGAAAAACAGAGGACAGAGAAAGAGTTGAAGATGTCACTAAGTATTTATAATGTTGTATGTAATGTGATAGGCTTGAAATACATAGACAGATTTTGGCAGTAGATTAATTTTAACCGTGTAGACATAAATGAAAGCATGATATTAGCATTAATTGACCAATCAGGAGTCAGAGGACTATCAAGGCTCTGTGATCCTCTTTCTGCACAAAATTTGCAGTCAAAAGCAAGTGACAGCAGAATGTTAAAAAGGTACAGATGAAAAGATTTGAAATTAACAAGGTTTTCCATTTTCACTGAGGATAATGTAAAATGCATGTGTGTTATCATCTCATCTATCTTCCCTTTCTTCTTCTTCTTCTTCTTCTTCTATTATTATTATTATTATAAATAAATAAAAAAGATTTATTCATCCTTACTGGCACAATTGGAATAGTTACAAAGAGATGTGTAAAAAGATTAGAAAAATTGGAATCTGATGAACAACTGAAACTTTTCAAATGACAGCAATTATTAAAATCAAATGAAACACTAAGGTAAGAATTTTTAGAAGATTTACTGTCACTTAATCTCCAGCAACAACAGTCAATAACAGTCACTGGTGTGAAAACTGAATGAATATAAATATAAAATATTCAAAATTAATTGTTTCTCACATTTATATATAGATCTATTCATAATTTTTTTCTATACTCTACTGAATTCGCTACATAACCTTCAAAATGAAAAACAAAGGACAAAGATCAGCATAAAAAATCAACTATATAATAATTACTGTTGTGTATTTTTTATTTACATCTTTCAGGTCATGTTATATAGTGGGAAGGGAGGTAAATAATCTTAAGGTAGTAAATTTATGAGTGCTTACTTCCCTTAGTCATTTTAATAATCTGTACAAATAAAATAGAGATCTTTAAATAAAATTAGTTCTTGGGCAAAATAAACTTTTTAATCAATGCATTCTTTTACTAATATGTATTCTAGACTGCAGTTATATTTATTCAGGCCTTTCTTGCGAGAAAGCTAGACAAAAAATAAATAAAAATACTGTTTAATAAATAGAGTGTTGACTCAAATATGGGTATTCACAAAAAAAATAATGTTTAAGTAATAAAATCTGTTGGAGTAATATATATGTGTGTGTGTGTGTGTGTGTGTGTGTGTGCATACAGGGTGCGATGGATAAATTGTCATCTAAATTATGTAAAAATGAAAATCATTTTAACAGATATATTTACGAAAATTACACATTGAAATACTAGAAGAGTAAAATTATTCAATAAAATCACCATTGGCTTCAACCATGGTCTCCAGACGACTTCAGAATCTCCTGCATCTCTTCTGGACAGTCTCCTTCTTTAAGTTGGTCAATGCTGCTATAATCCTTGCTTTCAGTTCATATTTGGTGTTACAAGGAGTTTTATTGATCTCTTGCTCAACTGTGCCCCATACAAAATAATCACGGGGGTTGCAGCCTGGGGAGTTAGATGGCCAGATGTAAGGGGTGATGTGGTCACAGAAATTATCTGACAGCCATGACTGGGTATACACGTTTGAGTGGCATGATGCAGAGTCCTGTTGCCGGACATAGGTTCTTTCAGCAGCCACCCACTTTACACAAGGTAGCACTACATTCTCAAGGTACTTTATGTAGTCCTCCGTGTTGAATCTGATACCGTCACCATCAAATTCAGGAGTTCTTTTCTTATCAGAACGATCAGAGTGTGTTTTCTGAGCTGCTGTACCTTCGTAATCACCATTATCCAACTCTTTCTGAATCATCTGCACTGTTCTCAGATTGACACCAAACACTCTGAAATGTTCATATTGGCGCTTCCTGCGCAAATGCCAAGAAGTAGTCCCTATTTTTCACATATCTAGAAAGAAAACCGAGCAAACGATCGCATAAAAAAATATAAAAATGTTTAAAGATTTCAACACATGAATAATTTTCCTCAAAACTGAAATACTGTTTTAAGAACAAATTTTTAAGACAATCTTGTTTGTGTTGTGTTGGAATATTTGTAAAACTTTTTATGCCAGCGTCGGCGATTCTTTATGGAAATGTAAAAATTTGCGATTTAAACATTTTTTTTTCGAGTAGAATTTAGTTATGAAAATATTGGTTATTACAAAAAGAATAACATTTTCTCAGATTTTTTTTTTAAATAAAAAAAACTATTCATTATAAAAGTAAATAATTAATGAATACGTTACATGATTTTTGGCAATTTAAAAAAAGC